AGTGAGGTGGCAAGGATCTTCAACGTTCATCCCAGCACAACAACTCGATTGTGGGATCGATTTCGTCAAACAAATTTGACAAATGACCGTCCAAGATCAGGAAAACCTAGAGTCACCACACCTGCCCCAGATTGGTACATCCGGGTAACCCACCTACGTGACCGCCATCGTACCGCCCGGGACACAGCACAAGAACAGTTTGGAGCCCGAAGAGTGTCCGATCAGACAATAAGGAACCGTCTCCGAGAAGTAGGAATACGTGCCAAACGTCCAAAAGTTGCACCCTCCTTGACACGACTACATCGACGTCGACGAGTGAGATGGTGTAACACGGTGCTGCCATGGAACCTGGCAAACTTGAGGCGCATATGGTTTAGCGATGAATCCCGTTATCTCCTCAGGCGACGTGATGGTAGAGACCGTGTTTACAGACGACGTCTTGAACGTTTTGCTCCTAACTGCATCAGACAGGTGGACAGATTCGGTGGAGGGAGTGTTATGGTGTGGGGAGCGATCTCATACACCCGCAGATCGGAACTTGTGCTTGTCCAAGGCAATCTGACGGCCAATCGATACATCGACCAGATTCTCCGTCCGCACGTCCTTCACTTTGTTGACTGTCAACGGCAGCTCTTCCAACAGGACAACGCCAGGCCCCACATAGCACGTGCCACCGTGGACTACCTGGCCAATAACAACATCAGTACCCTCCCCTGGCCCTTTAGATCCCCGGATCTAAACCCAATCGAACACCTTTGGAATCAGATCGATAGACGGGTACTCCACCACAGAATCTTCAACAGTTGTTCCACATGCTGCAGGAGGAATGGGGAAGGATTCCACAACAAAACATCCAACGACTGATTCGATCTGTACCCAGGAGGTGTAGGGCAGTGGTAGCAGCTGGAGGTGGTCATACGAGGTACTGACATCAACACCACCTAGTGGACAGCAGTAATGACTGTGATGACTGTTATTCTCATGAAATATGGACAAGATATGGATTCAATATTTCAGCAGGCCGCCAATAACATGCAGGTTAACATGCTGAAATCTTCAAAGTATCGCCATGACCTTGAAAATGAAGTGAAGGTCACCAAAATAAACTGGGCACAGCGCCTTTCCTAGATTAAGCTTGGTGAAATTCCAGTTAACGGTTTTTGAGTTATCTCGCTGACAAGGGTAAAACGTTAAAGTCCCCTTGTGACCTTGAAATAAAGGTCAAGGTCACCAACCCTGACTGGGATCTTTCTTTTACTGGGGTGAACGTAGGTACCAAATATTAAAAGAATCTAGTCAACGGTTCTTAAGATATTCCAATTCGTACGTACATAGGGACGGACGGACGGAGCCTGATACTATAAGGCATCACGTTTAGAAGAGGCCAGACGAGGATTAATAACAGCTATTATTACGCATGAATATAACGGTAAATGACTAAACGAACGTGCAACATATCGTATCCACGTGCTGCTTTTTCTGACTAAACGGATTGACACTATACGTAATTTTCAGGAGAGGCTGGCGTGGACGAATAGTGATCACTGAATTGTTACATTCTTGAATGTTTGGGAATACAATCTGAGTTAAAAAGAAAAAAAAATAGGATCATTATATATTGTCATATACCTGCACTTGAATGACTCCGTCTCTTCTTATAAAGAATTTACACACACGGCTTTGCTCACGTACATGTAGAATATGACCAATGACCATATGGTTCAATTTAACTGCAACTCCATGCACATCATAGGGTTAAAATGTTCAATATTCTCTAATAACTGCCCTGTAACCGCTGTCCAAAGTGTTCTGTAATCGTGATAACCTCGCACAGCACTACTAAAGTTGAGTGAATGAGTGAGTTAAAATTTAACGTCACATCGGCAATATTGCAGCCATATCGTGACGAGAACAGTTGATATCAATATTCAAAACAATAAATGTATCACGTAAAAACCTGTCATCGAAGGACAGTAAAACTACTAGAATATCACAGCTCTTAATTTATAACTAGTACGCTATCATAAAAATATATCACGAGAGACAACAGTACAATATAATAACGGGCTATAGATCACCAGCAACTGAAGGTTGATCACCATGCTATGGACCATGGGGACTTACAGTACCTCAGCTACCTGCATGGACCCTAGTACACCATCCCTTCAGCTGTTGGCGATTGTAAGAAATGTTAGCCAAAATTAAAATAACAAGAATACTACGTTTAAAAATCCTGGTAAGTTGAAATTGACTTTGAAAGTTTTGGGACTTACCTACCCTCTCAGGAGGACAATAATTTTACGATACTTCAACCCCCTTTGAGGGTACAGCCACTCACAATCCCAGTTACTAATCCAAGCTACCAATAATAAAATACTTATCTATTTACAAACATTCTTTTCCAAATTTATCTAGCAATTCTATTTCTTTTCAAATTTCATTGATTAAATAATAATTTACATTAAAAAGAACTAAAGTTACAAATGTCGGGGTTCGCCATTCCTTTGGAAAGGGACGTCACTCTAAACACCCAAGAATTAAATCCAAGTTTAAGCCCATGAGCTTAAATACGGAAAAAAATTCCGTATTTATGCCCATGGGCTAAATTTCGCGTGGGCCTAAATACGAGAATTCCTGTTACATTTATCATTATTCCTGATATTATTTTCAAAACAACATGTATTGTCATGATAAGTGCTCAAGTTACCTTGACCACGAGACACTCGCTTGATATTTGTAGAGAATATAAAAGGCATGCAAAGAAAGAAAGTTTAGAACCTCCAGCATGCCTAGCCCATTATGATGATCTGGAAAACGTCTTAAGGAGAATAGGCTTAGTAGAGAGTCAAGCTATTGTTATTTGTCTTCAAGATCAACGATTCTAGCCCAAACTGCACCCCCATTGACAGAAATTTGTAAATTGATAAGTTCATGAAGTGTAAAACTAGGCCACATATCCCCAATGTGGTCGATGAAATTACGCAGAGCAATATGTAAATGAGTAAATATGCAATGACTGACACAAATGCAATCATGATTACAAGTATAAACCCTTTTAGAGCTCCACACAAGAGCGATAAATGTACATGCAATGTAATTCCCCCAAATAATATACTTTGGATCAGTTTGAAATCTTGATGAAAGGCAGTAAACTAGGTCATGTTAGATAACGAAAAATAATTCAGATCTGCAAAAAATCATCTGTTGTCATTAACCATGAGATTCATCATATTACACGGTCTTGCATGAAGGCCTGTAAATGAAAATGTACTCTGGTACCCACAAAAATTACACCTCCGGCGACCTTAGGTAATTTGGACCACAGGAGGACAAAGGAGTTAACATTATATTATTCGAAAAGGTTGGGAAAGCTACCCAACTGCAAATCCTCTTACAACAAGACAGATCTAAACATAAATTAAATAAAACGAATTGCCCGTGGACATTTTATCACTATCCAAACTGTGCTTGTGATGATTTACCTATATCGTTGACAATTATTGACATAGGTGAGGAGAAATCGAAAACGTAAATATATACGGACCACTGGAGGATACAGTAATTAATACTTAGACTATAATGTGAATGTTATAGTCCATCCTAATCACTTAACGAGTAAATCAACGCCTCATGTTTCCTATTATTTGCTTGTAATTACACTAGTGAGTGAGCTAAAATTTAGTCACTTTGACAATATTTCAGCCATTTCGTGACTAAATCAAGTTAAAAAAATAATAATTATTAAAGGTAAATTATACAAACCTGTTAACGAAAGACAGTAAAACAACTAGAATATCACACATATAAATGTAAAACTAGTAATTAAATCTAAAATATTTTAACTATAGAGGACAACAGGCTATAGATTGCCAACAACTGAAGATAGATCACCATCCTACGGACCATCGGGACTTACAGTTTTTGACAAACTAGCCATAACCTAAAATAAAATATATGAAGCGGTTGAAAATAGTAGTACGTTTAAATTTACTGTAATTTTTTTGGGACTGACGTGGTCTCTCAAGAGTACAATGCTACAGAAATTTAACCCCTTTGAGGATACAGCCACAAACAAGTCACTTGTTGCTTTAAACATGTATCTGTTTACACTACTGTAATCAATTTTTTTCTAACAACTCTATTTCTTTTAAAAAGTCAATGATTAAATCATAACTTACATTTAAAAAGGTCCTCAACTGTTTTTACATTGAAATATTTATCCCTTGTGATGGAAAAGTCAATACAGTCAAGCAGGACATGTTATATATATATGGATGGGATTATATATATATATATATATATATATATTGGATGAGAAGTGTTGTCACGGATTTATTGAGTGCTGCCTTAGCAGCAACATTGGCCATTGTGTTACCAGAAATGCCAACATGGCAGGGTAACCAACAAAGGAGAATGCCGTATTGGCCAGTAGCAAGATCATTACATAATTTGAAAAAGTGGATGTTTACAAGAGACATTATTTATAGCCTGAAGGCACGAAAAAAGAGAGTCTGAAAACAATGTAGATAGTGTTTATATTTAGAGTGTCTATTTATATACTTAAGAGCTGTTACTGTTGCGTTTGCTTCTGCTGTGAACATTGAACTGTCACTGGGTAATCTAGAAGATACTGTTCCGGATCCAGTGACAGGTATACTTACACTAGAATCGAGTAGTGTAGAAGTACCATCCAGTTTGACTTCGGTAACATGGGGCTTTGCCAGCTCTGCAACCCATTGAACGTCATACACTTGCTATTCATACACCAAATTCCAGTGCGTCTTATTGATTTTGACGCGTTGTGGTTTTCTAATGAAAATCTGCTTTCCACTTGTCGTGAAACGTTATTTGATGCTGGAAATGTCCTACTTACAAGCCCAACTATATACATGTAGATTGGATTCAGTTGAGCGTAAAATGTTGACAACCAATCCCTGACTTAGCCAGATTGACGCGCAGTACAAGAGTGGTCGCGATCGACGGCAGGCTTGTACTCTCTGTCATGTCGGAGCCTGACGTGTTTCTGAACGCTGGGTGTCAAAAGTCCACCAACGAAAAGAATGACCGAGTAAGAACCAGAGAGGAATGGTCCAGGAAGAGAGAGTACATTCTGTCCCTCCTTGGGTATGCAGTTGGCCTTGGCTCACTTTGGAGATTTCCCTACCTCTGTAACAGAAATGGCGGTGGTAAGTGTGACAAGCTGAAACTTGTTTTATCAGATATATTTACACATATATGTGAGTCATCGCTCGCGTGTGTGTTTGTGTCAGAGAGAGGGAAATAGGTGTCATTAATATATATATACGTGATTTGTTTTGCCCTCTCAGGACAATTACTGATGAAGTGGTGGAGGTCAGATTAGTGGTGTAATGGTACTCTGTATGTGTATTTGGAATAATGCCAAGTTTGGCATTTAAACCAAAACTAAATACGTTTGTCGAAGAACGTATGGCTGATTCTGAACGTGGTTTCAATGTGTCATGACATTTTCAATGCTGAATTCGTGTCACGTATGCAACAGTCGGGCCCGGATGGTTGGTTTAACACAGCGAGCACATCAGCCAGTTGATGAATACATTGCACTGAAATGCATTTACGAAAACCGCTACTGATTATTGTCGAGAGAAAACAGCACCTCAAACTTTTAATCAAGTCATTATGAAGACACAAAATATGTATGTAGTTCTATAGGTGTTTTATTCATGGATTAAACACTGGTTCGAGTTCACCACATTTGACAATGTTTCATTAATCATAATGATCATTCACCCTGTCTGACCTATGAAGACTTTCGTACTAATGCCTTGAGTTGACCCTCCTGAATCATCCTGATATGGTAGTGCATTGGCCTCTCTGAAAAACTCTTGCTTAATCTGTAAATACTAATCCGTGTGATACACAACACACTAATTAATTTGTAGCGAACTGTAATGAGAAAAAAAAAAAAGATCGTTGGCGTATTATTATTTGTATCTTATTAATTTATAGTATACAAAATGGTAAATTTATATCTCAAACAAAAGCTTTTAAAAATGGCAGGGAACGCAAAAGATAAATATATGTCTATGACGCTCTCCGTGACAAATTAATACCCCATGAAACTATTTAGGTCTGTCATTCATGCACGCATCTATAGAAGATTTAGCTTTTAAGGCCAAAAAAGTACTATTGTCTAATGATATGTACTTTATAGTATTTTATACCAAATATTACCTATATTGGTGGATGGGTGTCGAATATGGGGTATAAAAAGGTATATTTACATGCATTAAAACGTTTTATTGATGTAAGAAGATGGACACCAACTAATATTGTTTTAGGGCAATTTGGCAGATTTCCCATTTGTGTTTATACAGTTAAACGTTATATTTCTAATTGATTAAAAGTTTTATCTGTGCAATTATGTCGCTACCCACTGAAAACATATAAAATGCTATATAACCTTGACCAAAATGCTAGTGAAACTAGAAGCAAAAATACCTGGGCTACTCTGTTAAAAACAGAGTTAATAGATTAAGACTTGTTTCTGTATTGATTGGACAAGAGGTAGGAAACAAAGCATATTCCTGTCACTTGTACTCCTGAGATGTAAAGACTGTTTCTAACAGAACTGGAGAGCCAACTTAAACAAAATACTTGTTCGTACACATATTCCTTATTCAGAAGACCAATTTATTAGTAATTCTATGGTGTGAAAATCAATTCAGTGAAACCATCATTAGCTCAATTCCGTTGATATTGTTATGATTGTATGTTTTACAAAGAGGGGCATACAGTAGTATAGGGAAAGAGAGTTCGGCTGCAACCTCATCAATAACTTTCATCCCAATTATGCTGCACAGTCCCATAAAAAAAAGGTCATATTTACCAGAACCACATCATTTCGAAGTTCCACTAATTATGACCTGCATAACACTGACTACACCACGCGACCTAAAATACAATCGATACAAATTTATATTGAGGAAAACAATTAATTGTTAATCAGCTTTTATGTATATGTTTTTGGTAAGTAATGCTTGATGGGCTTGTTCTGTCACCTGTCCTATGAATATTTTGGTCTCTTCTTCAGTCCGAAAATCTTGTTTCATTGAGCTGTATTTGATGAGTTCTGACAATACTTAACTAAACTCTTCATCTGTGATATTTCTATCGGACAGTGCTTTCGAGATATGATCCTTGATAGTATTTCACTTAGCTTCGGTTTTAACGCAAATACTATCAGTGTCACCGGTTGCAAAAGAAGTCCGCAAATAGCTTTATACAATTTTATATGTAATCCCAACATTGTTGTTTTGCCGCAGCCAGTATTTTCTCCCCACATGAATCCGATCAGTCTAAGTAAACTTAGTCTCAGTAATATTCGTTACACTGCTAACCTTTGAGCGACCTATGACCGTCCAGTCAAATTTGAGACATCGGACAACAGCTACTTTTTATGGTTCAGCGGGACTTCCAAAATTCCCCTTTCACTGACTTCTCAACAAGCGAAAATCCGCATAAAACAAAGATATTTGACCTGCCGTATATACGGCTAGGGTTTTCTGATGACATGGTTACCGATAGCTAATATTTCCGCAAGATGACATTGAATTTTCACAAAAACACTGTTTTCCAGCGACTGTTCACTCACTGTTTTGGCGTGCTCCGTGTGCATCACTCGGAAGCAATTGTACGGAAAATAGCATTCGGAATCGTTCGGGTAAAAAACCTTTTCGGGTAAAAGTTCAAGAGGTATGTGCGAAAATCAACTTTCCCGATTTGTGTCCTGATTGGTCAATTGAAAAAGTTAACTGACGCAACCTTCTAGTAGGGTTTGTTAGACTCAGTATAAGTAGTGTAACGAATAATACTGAGCCTAAGTTTGCTTAGACTGGAAACTGATAGAACACTTATGGGTCTATCTGGATCAACAAATCTGAAGACTACCAGCGCCACCTGTCACCGCTCAATAACTGGAACAATGTCTCCTACAGGAATGGCAACGGATCACGGCTGATGTTATTCTCCGCCTTTTTGTCATCAATGCATCGACGTGTTTTGGCGTGTATTGAAGCCATTGGTGGTCACACTCAGTATTGATGCAACATTTGATGACATTTTGTACCAAAAACGCCTTGTTGATTTGTGTAAAAGTTCAGGCTATGATACCACGTGTCTTTCAGTGTCAGTCAAAAGGTATTATCGACTTTGTATGAAATTATATTGTGTACATTTGCTGAAGAAGTGAATATTCTGTTGAAATTAAAAAAGATGTTCATTCATAAAACCTTTTGTTTTCATTTCTAGTTTCGTCCAACACACTGCATACTTCTTTGAGCACTAGTTTAGTTGCAGGCTCCCAAAGATCTTTGTCATCTTTCCTGCATGTTTATACCCATCATAAAATGCATTACCTTAGAATAACACTATCTCCTGAACACGTTTTTCATATTCCCACCCATATGTTGCCAAGTTTGTTTTGACCCATATTTCTACCTTAGTCAGAATATTAAAATAAATACGCTTACTTCTGACTTCTGGAATTATCTTAGCTACTGGGAATAGTCTCAGTGAAAGAATTACCGTATGGAGAATGTTGTATGCATGTGGTGCTGCTTTCATGATCACACGCTACACCCAGTAATATAAGTTAATATGTCCACCACTAGAAGGGATAAAAGAGGGGTAAACCTCGAACTCAATCAACTTTAGAGAGTCAGTGCCAAAGCCCATCGTTATTAAGTTTGTAAGAGCTGAAGATGAATTATTTTTTTTTGTGGCAGAATGTATTCAATGCTTCAATATCTTTGGTAACAAAAATCTAAGAGACCATAGTAGAATAGTCAGTTTCCCATATTTTACACTTCTCCCAGAAAGAACTCAAAGTCTTGAAACATGTATACAGATACACACTAAAAAAAACAAAAACAGAAACGCCTAAGACATATTTATAAGATATTATTGCGTTAAAAAGCAATTATTTCATGTAATTTCAATGATAAAAAGTTGACAATTCACACGTCAATAGACAAAGAGTTCGCCAACACAACAGTATAAGTTAAGATATAATTTCTGAGAAAACAAATTTCAATGTAACATTAAATTTCATTACTCCTTGCAATTAATATGATAAATATAACATTACATGTTAAACCTAAATTCTTGCAAAAAGCCTAAATTGTGACACATTAATTTTTGTCCCTTTCAAGATCTATGACAAAATGGTTTCAATATGTACAAAAATGGGCAAAACGAGTACACCACTCACTGGAAAGTCTAACAACTGTATGAATTTAGGATATCATTTCATTTTGTCTTTAAAGCTCAAAGATATATTCGTAAAGTATTTTCTATTCACCAGGTGCGTTTCTCATTCCCTACTTTGCTGGGATTCTCACGTGTTCTGTTCCACTCTTCTTCCTTGAGGCTTCAATTGGCCAGTTCTCCAGCAGGAGTGCATTACATGCTTGGTCCATTTGTCCTTTGCTTAAAGGTTTGTCAAACGCCCTTTCTGCACAGGGGATCGAATCAACAAATGTCTTCGGCCCTCCGTTTTACGATCTCAAATGAATTATTATTATTTATGATACGGGGACACTGATGGATAAGACGCACATCTCAGTCATAATTTTTTGGCCAAATCAATGCATCGATATCTTGCATTCGACTGTTCACACACGCAAATAGACATTTCATGAAACGTTATTCTTGCTGCTCCAAAAGCTCCAAATTTGTCCTCGCTCCTGGTCGACAGATAGTAACTATCACCTTACCTCAACTGAAAGTTAACAGTAACAATGTAATACAATAAAAACACTGACTTACATAATTAATTAACACTACCATATAGCAGCCTATTTTCAGGTATTGGCATCACGCAGGTTGCAGGATGTTTAGCTGCAGCCTTGCCTTACAACCTCATCATTGCCTGGTCTATTTACTACTTGTACCGGTCTTTCTGGTCAGTGTTGCCATGGACAACATGTGGCAACTGGTGGAACACGCCCCTGTGCATCACTAAGCTTAGCAACAGCTCATCAATCACTGACGCCTACCTCACTAATAGCACGGAGGATCATCAGCTACTCAACTCTTTATGGCGGAAGCCCAATGTAACGTTGACGGCGTCAGAGGAATTTTGGCAGTAAGATATGAATTTTTAGTGACATATATAATGTTCAAATGAAATATTATTAGTCAGACCTGTGCCATTTGACTGTCAATACTAGACAAAAAACGTATTTTATGGTCACAATATAGAAAGCCAGTGCAAAAGGACAATTAATTTTGACTATCCTCAGAAAAAGAGTCCGTTTGTTGTAAAAATAAATAATTTAATAGAAGAACGAAATTTTATATGTAATGCAATTGAATTTAATAGTTGCGTTGAGAAATGATAGCCTTCGTATACATACAAAAATACATTACATTCGTTCTTGTGTTGCATATTAGTGTAGGTTTTAACTACTGCCTAATACTACTTTGCCCTTTTGGATGCAGATGGTATGATCATATTTAGACATCAGATTTGAAAATAAGATGATAAAATTATATTGAAATAATAGTCATATAATTAGCTGCCAGACAATTTATGACTCAATCATTGCAGATTCATTCAGTGTCTCTAGCGATACATCTAATGGCGTATTATTTATTTGACAGGTACAACACACTGCGAATTTCGAGTGGTATCGACAATTTCGGAACAGTACAGGTTCATCTGGTCCTCTGCATCCTTGTCTCGTGGGTTCTTGCATTTCTGTGTATGGTTAAAGGTGTGAAGTCTGTTGGAAAGGTGGGATACCAATATCATATGCTTCAGACCAATCACTTCTGTAATACCTATAAGAATAGGCCACAAGTGCTGATGCACATAAGGAAAGACATTAAACACTACTGTTTCACACCTTTGCTTGTCTGAACTGTTCTGAATCATCAATGAAGTGATGATGTGTATGGCTGTTCGACAATGTTCATCGAAGACATTAATTCCATGATAACCAGTGAGTTTACAGTGATGTTTACAGTGTGGTTGAGTTCTGTGACTACTGCTTTTTTTTGTCATCATGTACTATGTACCTGTCCAGATTTTAGCATTTACAGACTGTGCAATGTTTTCACTTAGTGAAATTCATATAAACCAGGTTGTGTACGTGACTGACCTCCTTCCCTACGTTCTCCTGACGGTTTTGCTGGTCAGGTCGTGCATGATGCCGGGTGCGGGGGACGGTATACTGTATTTCCTTAGTCCAGACTTCTCTCGGCTTGGAAATGTACAGGTCAGATGCTCAAGTATTATTAATACGATCACTGTCAGGGAAGATACATTATCAGAGCCAATTTACTAACGGATGTGACCGCCTCCTTGGTGTCGTAGTTAGAGCGTCCGCCCGAAGAGCGGAAAGTCGGGGTTCGATCCCCGACCGCGCCATACCAAAAGATGTTAAAATATGGTACTTGTTGGTTGCTGCCTGGCGCTCGGCATTAATGGGTACAACAAGGACTGGTCGGCTCGGAGTCAGTATAATGTGTCTGAGTGGGGTATCCATGATTCACTACGGCATGGTATCTCAGTGGTCAAGCACTATTAAACCAGCTTCAGTCTGGGCTAGTAAAAGCAGCCGCACACACACACACACACACGCATGCACGTCGTCATATGAGCGAAATATTCTCAAGCACCATGTTAAATCCAATTTCACCTCACCTCACGTACTAACGGATGTATCGCATATAAATAACAATAATGATGATAATAGTTCACTTGTATAGCGCCTGGTATCCATCTGTCTGTCTAGCTGCTCACTATGTTGGAGTCAGTAGAGTAAGAGGGGTAAATGTCAAATATTGTAAGCAGAAACGTTTTGATTAATGGACTTTTAAAAGCGGATTCACAGATGGTGGCTTTAAGTTCTGAAGGTAAAGTGCATGCATGCAATTTATTTAACAGAAACTATAACCTCCTCGGGAACACACATAATGTCAACTTCTCATGTAGCAAGAGAACATGAAAATATTATCTTATATCTTATTCCAACAAAAGGTTTGGCTGGAAGCTTTGCTACAAGGTTTTTTTTCCATGAGTACAACAGCCGGAGGCCTCATCACCATGAGCAGCTACAACAACTGCTTCAGGTGAACAGTTCCTCTGTTGGAGGGCCACATAATTCGGAAACTTTCATTAGAAATAAAAACAATAATTGTATAACATGTGTCGATAATAAAACTCCACACAAATGAAAACTGTATGATCCTGATTCAGGGTTGAGTCCGACATATTACGAATATTTAGTTCTCGGTGTATCATTTGCCATATGTATTAAGACGTGCACAGTAAAACTCACGAGACTTCTCATTCTAGCAAACCTCAAACCTAGACATCTTTCTTGGGTAACAGTTGTTTACATCTGTGATTATATTTAATCAAAAAGATACGTTCATTGGTAGGCAAATCATGCTAGTTTGATTGCTGAAGCATTTCCAGACATTGATCACAATGACATAGTAATGTTATCAAAGTTTCTTTTCAGAGACGTAGTGTTACTTACTATCATTGGTGAAGCCAGCACTATATTCTGTGGCCTTGTGGTCTTCTCTTCACTGGGTTTCATGGCACATCGGGCTCAGATACCTATATCAGAAGTCATGTCATCGGGTAAACAATTATGGCTGTTATATGGATCCGATAAAGTTGATGATTATCTGCGCACCGAAGAGGGGCAGGGGTATATGCGATGTAATTGGTTACGATTTAAAATGACTTTGAACACTGGTGTCTAAAATATAGCTTTTGTGAGTTATGGCCCATGTTCAAATCAATGCATTCTGTGTAAAATGGGGATATGTTTCGCAACAACTATTTAAGTTCGACAACTCAATTTTTACACAATAACATTGCTGGTCATGATCTAAAAGCAGTTCGAACATTTGTGTCTTACGATAGTTAAGTGCAGTGTTATGACCCTTGTTGCATGTCTTTTAACTTACTAAAAAGTGATTACTGCCTGTACTTGAGACAAGTTTGGTCGGTATCTACTGAAGTTACATACATTGAAGTTGGCATGCCTATCGAATAGAAACCTTTGGAGCTTGAGTTCGAAAAGTGGTGTCATGTTTTTATGTCCCTTGCCATATGCGTTTTGCTTTTCCTTAAACATAACCAGTTAAAGATATAGTGTTTGAACGGGGAAAATATTCTCAGAGTTTACTAACTTTACATGAACTTACTCAAGTCTTAGTTCTAAAATTGGTGCCATAAAATATGATTTGTGAGGGAGGTAATTTTGGTGTTGATACTTCACATTAATTATTTTCTCTGATGATGTAAAGCACCCTTGTGCTTGTCTCCTCTTAGGTCTCATTAGGAATTTGTTTTTCTTGTTAACATTTACTTATATCTTATTCTTTACTATTTGCACATTACTACGAAGTGGTAACGCTGTTTTCTCGTTGCTTTTGGTACTGCTCATTGTTTTGTCCACGTCCCGTCCTGTGAGATGGATATTGATAGTGGCTCCGTTAGACACCACGCATTTACGTTTTATGAAAGTAGCACTCGTGGCAGTTGCTAGCATATAAAACGTACGGACTTACCCTTTAGAGGGCAACTGGTGAAGTTTAGTGATCCATTCACATACAATTCGTTACTATAGTTGCTTTATCTCCCTTTGGACTGTTACTCGATCCCTAACAGTGCGTTATCAGTTGACGTCGGGGTTGTGAAACGATTACGAAAATGACGAAGCAGAATTTGATTGTCCTCGGCATGTGACGTCACACTTGGCCGTCAGATGTCATACCCTTTCAGAGCATAAGTGTCCTCAGGTTGAGAATTGTCAGAATACAGCATCTAATGGCACGTGCAACAGACACAATAGAGGGGGCAGCTTGGAGTATGCCCAACTGCAAGTTCAAGTCATCTTCCGGCACTGGGTACAGATATTGTCAAACAGCAATTGTCTGTACGTGGTCAGTAGGCAACATTGCACTTAGTGACTAGTGACTAGTTTAGTGACGAACAGCAGAATCATTCCCAAAACTTCATCGTTTTTTACAGAATGATTCATTATCTTGCCTTGAGGCACCACACAAGGATCCAGACCTATCTTTAGATGGTACTCCCATCAAGGTAGTAGAAGAAGCCAAATTCCTGGGACTCATATTCGACCGCCACCTGATATTCTTGCCAACATAAAATATTTGAAAACCAAGTGCTTGAAGGCTCTGGACTTACTAAAAGTCGTTTCAAATACAGAGAGGGGAAGGGATCAGATTACCCTCCTTCACTTGTACAGATCTTTGGTTCGCTCTAAACTAGACTACGGCTCCATTGTTTATGGTGGAGCCTGCAAAAGCAATTTAGAAAAATTAGATTCTATCCACCACCAAGGCCCGAGGCTCTGCCTGGGAGCTTTTAGGACCTCTCCGGTAGACAGTCTATATGCAGAGGCTAACGAACCTTCCCTTGAACAACGCCGCATTAAACTTTCACTGCAGTATATCACTAAACTACGTTCAAATCAGTCCAATCCAGCATACATTTGTGTTTTCAACCCTCTCTATGAAAACTTATTTCCTAAACTGCCAAGCCTGGTTCCACCACTTGGAATCAGAATTCAACCACACATATCTGCAGCTAAAATTGATCTCAATAGCATAGCACCTTACCGACTCCTGTCTTCACCACCCTGGCAGATGGTGAAACCACAGGTCGATCTTACCCTCACTAAATTCAAAAAGTCTGAAACAAATCCCTTGATGTTCCAGCAGGAATACATCCAGTTTCGTTCCAAGTATGACACCCATAGATCCATTTTCACAGACGGATCCAAGGATGAGGGCCAAGTCGCCAGTGCTACAGTCATTGGATCTAAGACTGTCTCCTCTAGGATTCCCGACAACAGTTCCATTTTCACTGCCGAGGCCAAAGCTATCTTTTCAGCTTTGACCTATATTAAACAGCAGAATCATTCCAAAAACGTCATCCTTTTCACAGATTCATTATCTTGCCTTCAAGCACTTCAAAATGTTACTTCAAGTCACCCAATCATTCTGGACATTTTGGAACTTTACAACGACCTCTCTACTGGCCAATGTGACATCGCCATCTGCTGGTTGCCGGGTCACGTCGGCATAGCAGGTAACACAAAAGCCGATGCTGCAGCAAAAGCAGCTCTTGACAAGCCCTTATCTCCACTGCTGATCCCGTACAGCGATTTCAAACCCACTATCAAAAGCTATACTCGGGACCTCATGCAAAAACGATGGGTCACTCAAGTAGGAAGAAATAAACTGTATGAATTGAAACCAACAATTGGTTATACCTACTTGGGTTGTCAGTCAAGACGTGATGAAGTAATTTTACGACGATGTCCTATTGGCCACAGTCGATTAACTCATGACTATCTGCTGAAAACGGATGGGGATGGACCCCCATGTGTGTCTCTTGTGATGAGGTTTTCACCATCAAGCATATTCTGCTTGAATGCGTGGACCTATCGTCTGCAAGGGACTCACATTATGATGCAACAAACCTAAAAGATCTGTTCTCCCGCGTGAGCGCTCATCTGATAGTGAACTACCTGAGGGAAGTTGATCTGTATCATAAATTGTAACTGTTAAATGTAACTATCATAAATTGTAACTGTGAATTGTGACTAACAAATTGCCTGCCTTTAAATTTGATGCTATGACTTTTTCTGCCTTTAAATGACAATGTTATGAATATATGTTTTTGAAATAAAACTCATTAGTGTTTACTAATGCAAACTTGTTCTCGTCACTATATGGCTGGAATAATGCCGATGTGACGCAAAACCAAACTCAACTCAACTCAAAGGTTTACTTCAAATCACCTTTCTTCTGGCCAATATGACATCGTCCTATGCCGGTTGCCTGGTCACGTCGGCATAGCAGGTAACACAAAAGCCCATGCTGCAGCTAAAGCAGCTATTGTCAAGCCGTTATCTCCACTGCTGATCCCGTACAGTGACTTCAAACCCACTATCAAAAGTTATACTCGGGACCATATGCAAAATAGGTGGGACACCTATCTGCTGAAAACTGATGGCGATGGACCGCCTATGTCGATCTCTTTAGATGAAGTGTTTGCGATCAAGCATATTCTGCTTGACTGTGCGGATTTTTCAAATGCAAGGGGTTCACATTACGAAGCAACAAATCTGAACTATCTAAGTCATTTTCTAAATATAAATTATATTTTAAATAATAATGTAAAGAATACATATGTTATAAAAATAAAACTCATTTGGACTTTGGACTTAAAATGTTTATGAATGCAGACTTGATATCGTCACCAAATGACTAAAATAATGCCAATGTGACGTAAAGCCCAACTCAACTCAACTCACTCTACTAAATCTGCAACTGTTTGTACCAGGTTCTGGACTAGGGTTCATCATCTATCCGGAAGCAATTGCCCAGCTACCAGTCTCTCAGATGTGGGCAGTGCTCTTCTTCATCATGATGTTAACAATGGGAATGGATTCTTTGGTAAATATCTGTTTTACATTACAATAAATGTAGCGTGAAACACATGCACCAATAGAACGTTCGGTTTTGGTGAATCTTTCAAAAGCCAAAAATACATTGGAGGCATCACCATGTACATTGGATTTCACTAGGGCTTTTCTCAGCACAAACGTGTGTGTTACATGGCTATATTCATTGCTATTTCTTTGGCACATCATGTAGACTATTGCTAATCATTATGATACTAAAATGTAGATTCTATTTTCTGTACAGTTTAGTCATGCATGAACAAGACACCACCAATTGTAATCAAGCATTGAATCACGTCACCATGTACGGTAATGTGTGGAGGCAAAACAAAATACATGTAACGTGCGACTTTCTGATTCAAACAATATGTGCCAAGCAAAGTTAGTCTATTCGGACAAGAAGTGATGTAAGGACAGGTGGAAGATTTCACATCATAATATTTTTAGTTTTCGTAATAACTGTAAATCGACACTTTATAAATAATGTTTTTACTTACAGTTTGGTACTATGGAAACGATGATAGCTGCCATAATAGAAGCGTGTCAAACATACCTTCAACATCGAAGAATGTACGTCACTGCAGGAGTGTGTCTGCTCAGTTTTGGAATGTCCATCCCCTATGCAACTGAAGTGAGGCTCTTTGAACATTTACCATGTGTCACTTTCTGATTGTTTATTGAGGAGTTTGAAGCCTCGCGTAGAGGGCAGTGAGTTATTTCGTTGTTCCCATGATGACTTGAGGTATATACATAACATGTAAGTCAGCTGACAAGTGAAACAAGCAGTGGCCTGTGACTTTGGGAAAAAAGACAAACTTGAGGAAAGACTTCTCTGTTTCAAAAATGCTTTCAAAAAAGTAAAAGCGTAGGAATTATTATTCGTATATTACTGTACCATAAAGTAAAACAGTATGATAGATTAAGGGATAGAACCACATTGCATTGCAGTGCTGATATTCGTGTGTACATTTTGCAGTTATAATTCCAATACCTATTCCATACTATATTCTTGAAGTAGCATACTGAAATCGTGCTTTGTGTATTGCATGATTCACAAGTCACATCTATGTTTCGATTTGAGACATTCTTATCATTTTTTTATCGGATTGGAACCTCATTAAGACACTATTGATGACATTTCATGTCACACCCACGTTTGTACGTGGCTTTATACGTTACGACGTGTAATTAATTTCACATCATATGTTTGTTCCTCTTTCAGGGTGGTGTATACCTCTTTCAGCTATTAGACTGGTATGCTTCCTCGTTCAACTTACTGCTCATTGGCTGTCTGGAGTGTGTTGCCATTAATTGGATCTATGGTCAGCGAAAATACCAAATTGATGGGACAGCAGTCCGATCGGGTTAATGATTGGCTGTTTCAGAAAATATACGATTTCATTGGTTAAAAACAATATGTCGGATCTATTTAGTGATGAAATTCTTGGAAATGAAGCCGCGTCACACGCGTGGGGATATGGAGATTCCCCACATCGCGGGTTTCCTTCTAGAGAAAATGCTGTTTTCATTTTAGAGTTTTTTAGATCTTAGATGTGTAATAAAAGCAATAACCAGCTCGTGACGGGGAATGACAAGTTATTGTCTAATTATTTTCTTACGGGTGTTTGCCATCAAAGCAAATTCCAGACTTGTTTGCTGTCCCTTTAGGGTCAGTCTAATCAAGAAACTGATGTACATACATTCAGGAGTTATCCCTTTTGACAAATGGCATAGATACATTTTTTGTTTGTTCTCCTAAGATGTCCACTTTAAATGTCATTTTATCATGCAAATGACGTTTCATAGGTTCTGAAAGATTTAGCGACGATGTTGAAATGATGATGGGAAGACGTTCCCCATGGTTGCTGAAAGTCATGTCATCCTACTTCACACCAGTCATCCTCTTTGTAAGTTCAACTTCATATAGACCACATTTAAGTAATGCCTTCTTTAAGTAATGCTGACTGTCAAAGGTCCAGCTCAAAAAGGGTAATGCATCCGAAACTGAGATACATTTGTCATCATTGAGTCATAAATTATCTTGTCCCACTTAGCGATCATAAATATAGGATCAAAGAAGGACATTGCTGAGATACTGTGGGTGCATTTCAGGCTCTGTCGGCCCAAACTGGATACGTAAATAATATGACATGTGCACGTTGCAGACTATCAACAAGTGCTCACATCTCTTGTGTAACTGCACAGGTGCCCTACTAATGTGGGGCTCACGATACGTTGTTCAAAGTTGTACCTCTCAGAAGGACAAGAAACGTGTTCTCTTCTTAACCGCGTTTCTTTGTCTCTTAGCACCATATCCGAACTCGTTTCACCAAACTGCCAATTGTCTTATTCATGCATCAAGTCCTGCCGTTTATTTATATCAAGCTGATATTCCGTGATATAGCTGCCATACTGTTCATACTGGTGTTGAGGCCGACCTGCCTACTTCTACCTAAATTATTAATGAACTGCTTTTCACTTATAGGCGTCCTTGATTCTTACCCTGTTTCTGTACGACCCTCCAAGATATGGCGAGTACATCTACCCTGAATACGCAAAGTTGATTGGAATCTTAATTGCAGTTGTAATGTCATTGCCAATACCTGTCATGTTGGTATACCAGCTCATCAAGCAGAAAGGAACATTTCTTGAGGTTGGTTTACATGTGTAACCTAACATTGTTTACGGGATATGAAATAGGTCATTAATATTGTATGTACATGGCTTAAAGTCATGTCCAGAAAGAACAGAACAAAATTATCACATATTCTTTTGTAAACAAATTTGAGAGCATGTAAAAGAAATATTTGAACGGCCAACAACACTAAACTAGTCACCATTGGGCCTTTCATATTACTACTTCTGCTTTCCCTGCAGCTGCTTGCGAGTGTACACAGTTGTAGCTGTCAGTCTGCGATGTATAAATACACTGCCTTTTAAAACATTGAAAGATATAAATAGCCCTTGAATGACGAGGAGTTATAACCCTACCATATCTATCTATCTGTCTATCTATCTATCTCTCTCTATATAATATATATATATATATATGCTGAAAATGAGTTTTATGCATTTAACATATATATAACCCTGCCATATCTATCTATATATCTATATGCTGAAAATGAGTTTTATGCATTTAACAGCGTCTCCGCATCGCAAGATCTCCGTCCACTGACTGGGGTCCATCACGGCCTGAGGACAAAGAACGGTATCTTCAGAAGATGCACAATCAACCAGAATCTCTTATCTTGCGACGATTATACTCAACGGACAACCTGCATGACGCATCGGAAAGCCAAGAGCATACCCAGGGATGTGTTATTACTGAAGCATAATCTTACATTTTATGTTCGCTCGCTATGGTTGAAGTCTTTCTCAGTTAGTATTTAACATAGTTACGCCACTGTAAGCAATAGGACAGTAGTACAGCCAATGTGAGCAATAAATCGTTCATATACCGATTTCCACAGCTTCGTAACATACGAAAAACTACATTATCATTAGCGGTTCCCTTTCTGGTTTATGAAGTAATTAATGAATATACACGCCTCCTGACCACTGGCGTTGCACGTTCTTTCTTCTGTACATATAGTTTGCTTGAACTAATGGTGATGGTAAACAATACGTAGAATAGTTATGCAAGTGAAGACAGTGGTGTCAAAACAAAGAGTTATTCTGCTACCGTGAGTAAAACGTGGCTGCTGATGCTGTTAAGAAGGTGTGAACGTAGGTGAACGTTGATGACTTCTGCTCATAGACGATCTTCAAGAAAATGGTAGACTTCTTGTATTAGCTACTGTTGATAACCTGCAAAGGATGTGCAAGAGCAATACCGTTTCCATGGATGGCACTTTCAAGATCTGCCCCAAGACTTGAATACATGATGTGCGAGAAGGACATGGCCTCCTTTGTTAGCTTGTGGATCATTGCTCAACTGAAAATGTGTATTGACGTGTGATATGTGACTTGTGATATGACTTGATATGTATATGTAAAGCCATGGACATGAATCATGTAAATGTATCGTAAAACACTCTTTGGATTGTTGTGTTTCTTTTTCATCATGGTATGCAGAGCTCTTTCAAAGCATCACGCCTTGGTAATTAGTCCAACACTGTTGGTAATTAAGCTGATTGGATTAAGAGAGGCCAGTGTTGGAGCACTAAAGTTTTCAGGGGCCACTCAGGGAAGGGTCGTTAACAAGGCGTGAAAACTCAGGGGCCACTGTGGGAAGGGCCTCTCCGGGCATAAATCGTTGGTTTCTTTGTCGTGTAATGAATCCTGCTCCGTCTTGGTCTTTTTTGATTTCGAAACAGGATTTTGTGCTTCGTTTCCTGGGTTTTTCGATTTTATTTCTCAATCAGATTAAATATGTATGCGATTCAGGCGCCGGATCTCTGAGCTAAGACTATCAGTATTCCAGAGGTCTGTGGTTGTACCAGAATCTTCACCTGGTGAATATAATAGAATACACAGGAGCTCCAATTTGCAATTGCTATCCTTGAAAAGCAGAATCCTAATCAGGTAAGCCTGATCAGATCTGATGATTTGAAATACGAGAGTGAGACCTTTCCAATCACATATGTAACTCAGTATAACCCATTATGTTGACAAGCCATTTTAATATTCACAGCAGCTAAAAACATATTATCACACATTACATTATTTCTTCTAACTATATCTGCATGCATTTCCACATACACAAAATATCAAGTTTTACATAACACTCTGTCATTTTCCTATGCATTACCAAATCAACTGTTAGTCGGTTTTCCTAGTCGCTAAATGCGTTCCCTATTGGTGCAGACTGATCCGTATGAATGCCAATAGATACCCGCACGCTTGTTATACTATGATGAAAGATAAAGGTGCGCACGGTAGTACAAACTGGGTACTAGTTTTTAAACCTGGACACTCATATATATATATATATATATACTAGCCACATAAAGAAAGTGTGCACACAGAAAATACCTTCAGAATTGGAATACAACACAGAAACGATGACATGATGTAGACACTTTATAAGCTGAAGTATCGGGCCTCAACAATATGTCAAAAGAACATGAACAATATCCGTAATGATGACGTCAGAAGTTCAAAATTGAGTCACACATGGAAGTCACAAAGTCAATAACGGGTATGACCATCATGCGCGTGAAGCACAGCAGTGCATCGACGACGCATAGAGGCTACCAAATTTTCCAAATGAAGGCCTTGGGAATGGTTAGGGACGTGGTCACTGCCGTCTGGAACCTGTGTCTGATATGAGTCGCCCGAATCCATCTGTCCTGTCTTGGCGTCGTTACTCGGGGACGCCAAGAACGTGGGGGTCGGCGACGTCATTACTGTTTCCCTAACGCCTGACCAATGCAGATATCGTGTTACGATGGCATTGGACATGTGCTTCCACCTGTTGTTGGCTCATGCCTGCTCGAAGCATTCCAATGGCTTCATGACGTTGAGCACATGTTAATCTTGGCATGATGTGCATGTGACTTTTCATGTGAATTTGTGAACGTTTGAATGACCAAAGATCAAGCTTTCGACAGTGACATCAATTTCTGAGTTTCACATGTTGTGTGCAGCTGCACAGGCTGCACGTGCAGTAACACATTGCAAGTCCATAGGCCACCATCAATGACGTCACGTCGCCTGGCACCTGCAAGAGCGTTTGATTGTCTCCAATACTTGCTATGTTCACACCCCTATTTATGCATAATCAAAGTGGGGAAGGGATCAAACTACCCTCCTTCACTTATATAGATCATTGGTGCGATCTAAACTAGATTATGGCTCGATCGTATATGGCGGAGCCTGCAAAAGCAACCTTAAACTACTTGATTCTGTCCACCACCAAGGTCTAAGACTTTGTTTTGGATCATTTAGAACTTCTCCAGTTGATAGTCTCTATGTCGAGGTAGATGAGCCTTCTCTTACCCAACGCCGTACAAAACTATCTTTACAATATATTACCAAGCTATATTCTAACGAGTCTACCCCTGCATTTAACTGTGTCTTCAATCCCCTCTATGAGGATTTATACAACAAAAAGCCTTCTCTTGTTCCACTTCTTGGGCTGAGAATTAAACCATCTATATCTGCTGCCGGCATTGAGCTGGAAAATATAGCTCCTTCCCGTCTTCTTTCTTCTTCTCCTTGGCAATTGTTGAGGACACAGGTTGACCTAACACTGACAGCTCCGAAATCCGAAACTAATGACTTACAATATAGCTAAGAATATAATCAATTAAAAACTAAATATAATACATACAAATTCGTATTGTCTTTGGATCCAGAACATTCTGTTCTCGATTGAATTGTATAATGAGCTTGCTACTGGCCAATGCGACATCGTCTTTTGTTGGTTACCCAGCCATGTTGGCATTTCTGGGAACACAATGGCTGATCTTGCTGCTAAGCAGCACTCAATAAATCTGTGACACCACTTCTTATTCCATACTCTGATTGCAAAGCTAGCATTAGAACTTACATCCGTGATCTGATGCAAAAGAAGTGGGACACCCAAGTAGGTATTCAAAAATTACATGAAATAAAACCTTATATTGGTTACACCTACTTGGGTTGTCAGATTTGAAGAGGTCATCATGCGACGATGTCGCATTGGCCATACAAGGTATACTCATGAATACCTGTTAAAAGGTGAGGATCCTCCGTTTTGTATCCCTTGTGGTGAAAGAATCACAGTCAAGCATGTCTTTCTTGACTGTATTGATTTTGCCATCACAAGGGTTAAATATTTTAATGTCAAAACAGTGAAGGATCTTTTTAGTGTTAATTATCATTTAATCATTGAATTTTTAAAAGAAATAGAATTGCTAGATACATTTTGATAAATAGTTTGTAAATAAAATATATATATTATTATTGGTAGTTTAGATGAGTAACTTAGATTGTTAGTGGCTGTACCCTCAAAGGGGGTTAAAGTACTGTAAAATCATTGTCCTCTTGAGAGGGTACGTAAGTCCCAAAACTTTCATAGTAAGATGTAAATTTACATTTTAATCGTAGTATTTTTGTTCTTTTAACTTCCGGCTAAATTTTCCTTCAATCGCCAGCGGCTGAAGGGATGATGTAAATCCAGCTAGGGTCCATGCAGGTAGCAAAGATACTGTAAGTCCCCATGGTCCCTAGTATGGTGATCTACCTTCTGTTGTTGGCGATCTCTAGCCTGTTTTTTTATTGTATTGTCC